GAGAGTGGCAGGAGGAGGGATGTTTTTTTTTTTTTTTTTTTTTTTTTTTTTTTTTAAATCCATATTTCTGCCTACTACAACTTCAGGGTTAAAACAAAATATTGTTTAGAAGTAGCACAAGTCATAGAGTTAGCAAACACACTCAGTAATGTCAGTCGCACAGCAAGTTCGTTAGCAATAGCTAACATTAGCCACTTCACAGAGGCCTAAAGACTGCTCGGTGAACGCTTGGCAAACTGATCGCTGTAGAAAAAAAATTCTCTGATCAATTGGTGAGCAGTTGCTGGAGAACTACTGTAGTACTAAAACTTGAAAAAGTGTGAGGCAAACTGAAGACTGTTCGCCTTAAAAAAAACTTACTGCTGAAATAGACCTTATTTAAAAAATTGGACGTAGTTACCATGACATCACCCATAGTTTTCTGAAGTCCTCTTTGAAGCTTTGAGATTTTTACCATTGCTGTCATGGTTTAAAAAAATGTGGCTATGATTAATGACTAGCAACTTGTGATTGTACAAGTCCTCAGCCAGTAAGTATACCATGGATAATCCTTTTTTTTTAAGCATAGTACAAGATTTACAAAAAATTCTTATTTCTTATTCAAACTAAATTAAAATGAGCGACTGAACCCATAAACTCATCACGAAAGTGTTCACCTAGGTCAGGAAAGAAATGTTTGCTGCTGTAGACTTCTATAGGCCTATATGTCTTTCAAGACATACAGGAGCTACATCTGTGTTGTATACGATCTATAGCTGAAGCAACACGTTTCAAAAGGTGCAGCTTTTACTTTGAAGGCGTTGCACTCTTTACAGTTTTAAAACCTCTTGGCGAGTAGTCGGCAAACGCAGACAAGTCAGTGTCACGCAAACTTAGGGCAACTGTAGCAATCTACTCATCGTATACTACTTTGCTATCAGTTTCAGAGATGGCAAGCAACATCCAGAATCCTCTCACACCTGGTTTGAAACTGCTCCTTTTTCCACTGTGACTGATGGTTGCCAAGTGGTCTCCAACTGGTCTCTACGCCTGTGTGACAGGAGTCTTAGTTACATCCAAACTTTGAGTATACTGAGTGGAAAGAGTTTGTTTTACTGCTTATGAATATAATTGTTTTATCTCTAAGAGTGAGACCGTGTTATTGACTCATTCAAAAGTTACATAGTCTCACTTTATAAGGGCTTTGGAGCTGGCGCAAACATGGAAACAAGCTAGCCGAGTCAATGACAGTATCTGCCTTTGAAGTGTGCACTGTCCACACGCAAGTCGCAGTAATTCACTCTAACCATTCAAATAAACCCCGCTCACCATGAAGTATTCCATATTTTATTGTGATTATCTTTGTTGTTTGTCAGTAGACTCTCCACGAATGTTGTGAATTATATGATGAAATGAGTGGCAACACTGTGGCAACAGCAACTTATTTTTCTATTCTTCAACTTACTGTTCTTTTTGTAGCCACATCCAGTCAGACTATCACTGTGTTTATACAGTAGCATCGATGTGGAGCAGAAGTGGGCTTTGTGTTTGTTAAACACTCCACTAAGGCAAAACGATAGACTAGTCAGCTATAAGTTACTTACGGGACCATTTATTCAGCTCTAATGAGCCACTTTTAATGTTCAGTTGAGGTTTGATTCAGATCTAAATTATTTTTTAACTTTTTTTTTTTTGTCAGGAAAATTTAGCTCCTTAACTGAAATGGAAGTGACAGTAGGATGGTTGATGGTGTTTGTGTGTGCGTGTGTGTGTGTGTGTGTTTTCCTTCTTTCCACAGTGCATCATGGCTAAAGAAAGGTTTATTAATTGATGTCGGTTTTGTGTGTTCCCTCAGTTGGATTTGGTGCCTCTTTATGCTTCACAACAGACCTCAAGATCTTGTTTTCTTGTCTGTCTCACTCTCCCCCTGTCAGGCTTACGCTTTCTCTCTTTGTGACATCACATATACAACTCTGTTATTAGCCGTTAGTGGAGAGACGGGCCAATTTTACAGCAAAAAATTGCACTGATGTTTAATTCCTC